GCTTTTCCTCCTATTTCTCCACCTGGAATTCCTACAACATGGGTAAAGCACATAATGTACATAGTGGTTTCTGTTTATCCTTTTTAAAAAAATATTTTTGCCTGTCCTGGGGCTTGAATTCAGGTCTTGGGTGCTGTCCCTGAGCTTTTGTGCTTAGGGCCAGCATTCTATCACTAGAGTGGCAGCTCCACTTCTGGCTTTTTTGGTGGCTCATTAGAGTAAAGGATCTCACAGACTTTCCTGGCTGGCTTGGCTTCAACTGTGATCCTCAGATCTCAGCCTCCTGAATAGTTAGGATTCCAGGTATAAGCTGTCAGAGTTCAGTTGTTTATTTGCTTTTGTATGTGGTACTTCTTTATTCACTTTTTTTCATGTTTTTCAGAGTAATTCCTCCTCTAATTTTCCCGGTTTTATTTATTTTTTTTAAAAAATACTACCTTTATGATTTTATATCTCAGCAATAGGTCTTTTCCCTTCTCAGATGCTGTTAATGCTCATAGATTAGTTTTACCATAAGAACCTTCGATCAGAGGGATGGCACACCCAGGCTTATAGAGGACATGACTTTCTTACATAGCTGCTCTTCTTTTTTAAAATGTTTTTTATTGTGAAAATACCATACAGAGGGGTTACAATTAACATGAGCAAGGTAATGAGTACATTTCTTATCAAGCATTGTTGCCTTCTCCTTTGTTTGTCCCTACCATCCCTGGCCTCCCATCTCCATGACTACACTCCTGCCAAAGTCATAAAGCTGCTCTTCTTGTAACATGTTCTTTTACATTTTGGCAGATTTATCCAGCTCATTTAACTTACTCAGATTCTTTTGAAATATTGGTTTGACACAAGTATGACACAAGTATATATTATGCATATATTATGTATATGATACATAATATATGCATATAAATATATGTTTGTCTTTTTGACCTGTCTTCTTCTTATATCATTCAAAGTCTAAATCATGGGTCCTTAGCTGAGGAAGCACTTTGTTTCCTTAAATGCACACCATTTGCTACAAGAGGCTATCATTTAATCAACAGTTAGTATCAGATTCACTTTAGTTTTGCAGATATTGAAGCTGTTACAGTCAGTTTTTCAGTTCTCTGTTCATTCATTTAATCAGTAATTATTAGATATTTGTTTTATATGGTTTAAAGTTCAATGTGCTAGAGTAAAGCAATATATAAAAGCATACATAGTACCATCACATAAAAGATTTTAATGGAAGCATAAAGGAATAAATGTACAAATCAGCAAAATTTATCAGATTATTAATGACAATTTTTTAAAATTGGGTCAAAGAAAAAAAAGAGTGTTGTAAATTTAATTAGTGAGAGAAGATATTAGAGATCATTAGTATTTGAACAAAAATTTGAAAGAGGAATAACTATGTAGAAATGCAGAAAGAGCTTTGCAACTACCAGGTACCACATGAGATGTCTTAGACAGGCAGCTCCCTTGACCTTTAGAGAAACAGCAAGGGGAGAGGAGTGTAGATAAGGGGATAAGAGTAATAAAAACAGGAAACAGAATTGTTTTTTATAATTTTTATTTAAGTTTTAATTATAATTCCATTATAGAGATGATATACAGAGGGGTTACAGTCACATAAGTCAGATGAAGAGTACATTTTCTTTTTGGACAATGTCAGCCCTTCCCTCACTCTCTCTCAATTTCTCCCCTTCCCACCCACAAATCATATAATTCAGTTTCAACATAGTGTCTAGTGAGTTCACCCTGAATTTGGTCACTCTTTGTCCCTCCATTTCTATGCCTCCCCTTATACTCCCAAAGACCTATAAATGAACAAGTAGAACAAAAAGAAAAAAAACAGCTAAAAAGAGAAGTCTTGTTATCATTTCCTGGACTTTATTTCAATAAGTATTGTTTTTTATGATCAGATGCACATAGGCATTGTGTCTTTCTGTTCCTCATCTAAGAGTATCCTCCCTTGATTTCACTGTGTGTGAATGTTCCAATGTATTTTAGATATAGCTTCCACACATGAGAGAACACAGGCATTGTCTTTCTGACCTTGACATACCTCACTTAACATGACTTGTTCTAGGTCTATCCATTTCTCTGCAAATGACATAATGTTATTCTTTCTAATGGCCGTTTAAAATTCCATTGTGTATAGGTACTATGGTTTTTTTTTTTAATCCATTCATTGATTGTATGGCATCTGAGCTGTTTCCACAACTTGGCTATTGTGTATAGTGCAGCAATGGACATGTTTTTTTGGTAACTTTTGGTACTTTGGCTAGTGATGTTCTGGGTAGATGCTCAGGAGTTACATGATTGGGTTTTAGAGAAGATCTATGTTGTTTTTTGAGGAGCCTACAGACTACTGTCCAGAAACCTCTGGACTTGTTTACATTCCCACCAACAGTGCAATAGGGTTTCTTTTTCCCCACATTCCTGCCAACATTTGTTGTTCAAATTCACATTGTTGTTTTTTGTTTTGTTTTCTTTTTTGTCAGTCGTGGGTCTTGAACTCTGGGCCTGGGTGCTGTCCCTCAACTCTCCAGCTCAAGGCCAGCGCTCTGCCACCTGAGCCACGGTGCCACTTCTGGTTTTCTGGCGGTTTATTGGAGATAAGAGTCTCATGTACTTTCCTGCCCAGGCTGGCTTTGAACCATGATTCTCAGATCTCAGTTTCCTGAGTAGCTAGGATTACAGGTGTGAGCCACCAGTACCCAGCTCAAATTCATAATGTTGATCAATCTAACTGGAGTGAGATGGAATCTCAGAGTTGTTTTGATTTGCATTTCCTTTTATGGTCAGGGATCAGAATTTCCTCATATGTTTCTGTGCCACTTTTACCTCTTCCTTTGAGGAGATTTCTCAGCTCTTTTGCCCATTGAGTAATTGATTTATTAACTCTGAGAGGAGTTAGTTTCTTGAATTCCTTGTATATTTTGGATATTAGGCCTTTGTCTGATGTATTGCTGGCAAAGACCTTCTCAAAGTCTGTTAGCTGTCTTTCTAGTTTAGGAACTATGTCCTTTGCAGAAATCTTGTCGTTTGATATAATCCCATTTGTCAAGTCTTTCTCCTATCAGAGCCAATACTAGGACTGTTTTTCAAGAATCTTTTAAGGATGTGGGAAAGTAATTGGGAAACTTGGAGCACTGCAGTTGCAAAATCTGACTGTAGTTTAAGAAAAGCACGGCACAGGAAATTAAAATGGGGCCAGAAAGAATAGAGCTGTAGAGTTCTATTGAAGTTTCCTATATCTTTGCAACTAGAGATGATGGAGATCCTTGGTAGGTAGCTGGTCAAAGGAGGTAAGAGTTTGGATTACTTTAAAGATAGAGCTATCACTCTCTATCTACCTGTTATTATATAAATAAGAAGAGATATAGCTACAGTGAAACATTTCTTACCACCAGAAATAAAAGAACTTAAAAGTGAAAAGTTGAGGTGAAAGGAATGGAGAACATCATAACCTCATTTTATTTATTTTTTTGTTTTCTTTGAGGCAAATTTACAAACTTTATTTGAACAACAGTTCAATTACATAAGGCCATATAAGGAAAACATTATACATCAAGTTGTCAACTAACATTTAATAAATACAATTAAATATGACTTCAGGTCAACATGTTGATATTCTGATATTTAAAATAATAAATCCTTATTTTAAAAAAAATAGTGCCCCTGGGAACACAGCTTAAAGGTTTGCTTGCAGGCAGGCTAATTTTTCATAAAATTTCAAGAAGCCAGAATGATTGCTAGATTGCAACATAGAAGGAAAGAAACCTGATAAAGGAATGAATTTTCAAGTGCAATGATACAGCTATTTAAATTCCACTGAAGTTTTCTTGAGGAATATTTACTTTGTTGTACTGTTGTTGCAGCTATTATTAGTTCTACATGGTTTACAGAAATACAAGGTAATAGTTCGGGACCAAATACAGCCCTCCCTTTATCGTCTGTGTAGAAATAATTCTACTATCCCATTGTAATTAAGTTACAAGCATTCGTGTTTTGGTTATGTATTGCATGTAAAAAAAATTAGTCCCAGCCAAGTGTGGGTGGCTCATATCTATACTCAAGAGGCTGAGCTCTGAGGATATATCTCAGTAAAGAGCTGAGATAGAGGTGTGGTCCAAGTGTTATAACCTCAGCTGCAAGTGGAAAAGTTAAGGGACAGCACCAGGCCTGAGTTCAAGCCCCAGGTTGAGGGGGAAAATTATTCATGAACTTAGAAGAACAAATTTTTATTATAGCTAATAATAATAGCTAATAGCTAATAATTACTTTATTGTGGTTGTTTGGAAGTTGTGATGGTAATTCATTCAGCAAATATAGGAGAGCTATATAAAGTGCTTGGGTTTGAAGACTCACTGGCCAGTAGCTCTGTGGTTCTGAGCAAGTTACTAAGTGTCTAGAGACTATGCCTCTCATTCTCCTAAAAATATGTATATATACATATATATATATATATACTAGAAGAATTAAAATAGAATAATCTATATAAAGTTGTGAACATTATGCAGACAACAGAGCCACTGTTTAGAAAATACATTATTAACTTTCTTGTGTATTAAGTGACAAAACTTTCTTTTTCTGTCAGTTGAAATTCTCATTTATTACCTACTGTAAAAAGCATTAAATTTTATCACCACTCTCTGAAAGTTCATTTAACATTTTAGAAAATTAATCTCCCAAAGGATATGAGATTTCCACTTAAAAGTTTCATGCTCACAAACTGGAAATAAATATCTTATTTTAGGAGAGAGTATAACACACACTTGGAAAAACTGCAAAAATATCTCGCAGTTCATTTTCAGTAACTACATCTAATTCTGGGAAATTGGGTGAAATCAACCCGCCCCTCCACCAAGCAGCTCAGGAAATCCTTATCATCACTGCTTGCTTGTGGAATTTGCTTCTTGGTTTCACTTTCCAGTAGAGAAGTTTAGCAAGCCCTTCTGACTGCTGGAATGCCCGTTCATATTCAAATAATCCTTTGTGGTGGGGGTGGGGAATGGAAGAGACAGGAAATTGGCACGATTGGGGTAGACCACGTACCAGAAATGATGACAGCTAAACTAGGGTACAGTTGTCAGAACTCTTACCAAGTTCTCAAAGCAACTTTCTTGCCAGCACTAAAAGATCTCCCAGCAGCTCTAGAAGATCTCAGATCCTGAAGATTTTACTGTAAAGGTAAGATGGATCAGGGGAAGGAATTTTCAAGGTTGTTAGATTTTGAACATGTTCTACCTAGATGACACACAGCTTAACCTAGTATGCTGTACTTAAACTAGTAAAAACACAGTTGTGTGGTCAGAATAGCAGCAGGGTTTATTGTGTACCAAATGCTTTTGCTTCCTACTGAATTAGACACAGGTTTGGGCTGCAGTCAAAAATGCCTTACAGTGTTTCCTGCAAATATCGTTTTAAGACCTTTTGAGGTCACAAATGCCTTTGCTATAATCTGATTGTGCTGCTTCAAACTAGTCTTAAAAACCTCAAAATTATTTGAATAAGAAAGCAATAAATAAGTTTCTGTGCAAACAGCTTGGGAACATTGCTACAGACAAAAGAAAAAAAAAAGAAGATGAACTTCATGAAAGCGAAGAGGTTGCATGACAGCAGCAATGCATGTTTAATTTGTTTAACTTGAAGGAAGATTTCCTCTTTTAGAAATACTTCTTGGCCTTTGTTTTATCTTTTTCTTGATACCTATTCCCTGTGTTGAAATTTCAGTATTACCCTGTCTGCTGTAAAGAACCACTTAAACACTAGTGAACTGGACTTCAAATACTGCCTGGCCATTCTGGCCACTCCTTGTCACTCTTTCTTCCTTGGACTGTCTTACTATGCCACACTCTTCATGCAGCTCATATTTATAGATTTTCATTCACCCGATTGACAAGTGCTGCTTTCCTCTAAACTGAAATCAAAACAACATAAGACAAATCAAAAGTAAACACACACACACACACACATATCATAAGATAAAGGAAATCACATGTTTGAAAAGAGCTGTTTTCCCCAGAAATGCCATCAGCAGCACTTTCTCTGCATTTTCTCATCTGTGTGTTGGCATTTCAATTTTCTTCTTTTCATATTTCTTTTCTCTCTTACCACTCCCTGTTTTCCGATGTAAATATGTATTTATTGACTTCCTCTTTTAGGAAGCAGGCTTTTGAGTTGCATGCAATGCTAATATGATACAGCTAAGCCCAGGCTGGGGCTGAAAAAAAGGTCTAACTTTCTACAAAGCCCAAACTATGTGTTCCTATATGTTTTGTTCCATGCTTGTATTGCTTTTATTTATAAAGTTATGGAACTCTAATAGAGTTGGAGAGAATGCACCCCTGATGGCATGTTATAGTCTGAGTTATGAATGGCTGAGCAATAGCTAATATGTGGCTTTTGGGGGCAGGGGAGGGTCAGTCATGGGGCCTTCTGAGCTTGGGCGCTGTCCCTCAGCTCTTCAGCTTAAGGTGAGGTCTCTACCATTTGAGCCACAATGCCACTTCTGACTTTTTCTGCTTATTTGTTGCTGAAGAATTGAAACCCAGGGCCTCATGCATGCAAGGCAAGCACCCTACCATTGAGCCACCTTGCCAGCCCCTAATATGTGGCTTTAATAGATTGATATTCCAATCTGATTTACAGAGCTGGCTTTTCTAAAAGCATTAAAGATGCTATCCAAATACCACCTATGACAAGGTATAAAATACCGTTTATTCATGTAGGTGCAAAATACAATATTATTCATAAAGAAGTTTGAAAACTCAGACAAATTAGCTTTCTCACTTTTATGCTAAAGCATAAAAGCTCATATACCCAACATGTACTTATAGATTTGATTATCTTTTGTTTTTCTAACAATGAGTCGTCACTGCAAGGTTTGTACCTTTTGATCCTCTGATAACATTTCTAGCATCTGTTACACAAGGCAAGCAGAATTCTAGGGTGGTAAGGAACCAATATTTAATTAGAAATGGACTAAGATGAAAAGACACTCAGTATTTGAGCCCCTAAATCCATCTAAATGCACTAGGTATTTCTTGACTCCACTATCTGGTACCCTGCCATTTTTGAAGGCTTTTCCTAATGTCTGCTCCCAAGTCATCTGAATTTTAATTTATGTGATTTTTTTTAAAAAAGCATTGGCTATGAAGAGAGAAAATAGGTATTCACGATTGTTCAAAACAACAATAGCTAGACATGATGAACACCTGTAATCTCAATCTTTGGCAGACCTTGCAGGAGGATTATGAGGTCAAGATCAGCCTAGAATATATCATGAGGCACTGTTTCAAAAACTAAAAATGAAACAAACACAGAAACAGAAACAAAAATTAACAAGGAGACTCATAGTTTCTCCTGTCAGCTAACACAAGAATCTTGGTCATTTCATTTAAAGATTTTAGTGAAAAAATGAAATGAAAGAGATGACTTGTTTTTAGCTTTTGTAATTAATAATCATTTCTACAATGGAAGATAATGGTTCTTTATGAAAAGGAAATCTAGAAAAGTATAAAATGATTTTCCCAGGGATTTTTCATATTGAAGGAATCGCTTCCCAGAAGTAATGATTTTGATTTTTAAATCATTCAAACAATGATAAAATTATCTTAAGTTGAAGTTCTGTGTCAAAGAGGGCATAAATGCATGTTTAAAAAATTTGTTAGATACCACTATATATTTAATGCAATGCATTATGACTAGATATAGTAAGAGAAAAGCAACAAGTGCAATATAAGAAAGAATACTCATAAGCAATCTATCTAGGGATTTCAGGAGTTAAAAATACAAAACATGTAAACCTAAAGCTAATGAAATCAATGAGATTTAACTTGTCAGTAGATTTAAATTATCAATGGGGTAGACTCAGGAAGTGAGTTTCTCATATTTTCATCAAATTAGGATAAATTAGGTATCCTATAGCAGTCCTGTAAGGATTTAGGAAGTATTTTTCTTTCTTTTTTGTGTGGGGGGGGTCTGGTCTTGGGGCCTGAATTCTGGGCCTGGGTGCTGTCCCTCAGCTCTTCAGATCAAGGTGAGCACTCCACCACTTGAGCCACAGTGCCACTTCCAGCTTTTTTCTTATGTGGTGCCGAGGAATCCAACTCAGGGCATCATGTGTGCAAGGCAAGTGCTCTACCACTGAGCCACCTTCCCAGCTTCTTTTTCTTTTCAGTTGTTATTTCCCTCTGAAACTGGCTAGTATGTATACTGGCTAGTGTATGTTTACTGGGCCAGTAGGCAAATAGTCTTTCCTTAACCACTAGATACTCCATCTCTGCCCATGTCTTCTCTTGCAGACATCTTAGACATGGGCCCAGAGATCAACATGCCAGGCCCAGTGTGTCTGATTGAGAATACTGAAGAGCAGCTAGTTGTCAACAAGGAAGCTCTGGAGACCCTGTCTGCCATCTCACAACCTGTAGTGGTGGTGGCCATTGTGGGCCTCTACCGCACTGGCAAATCCTACCTGATGAACAAGCTGGCTGGCAAACAAAAGGGTAAGTGCCATCTCAAAGGTTCTACTGAGTCTCCTTAGCCTACCCTCACTGACAGGGGTCCAGCATGAGTATATGAGGAAGATAAACTTAGGAGAGAGGATGAATCGTGAATGTCAATGTTTGGGTCACAGCTGTCTTTTTATCTTAGGGGAGATGAAGGCAGCCCTCTGTCCTTGATATGTCTTCCTTTATTTTCCTTAATATCTCCCTGAGGAAAGTATACTGTGACCCGCACATAAGGGGATATAGGGAGTATGGTGTCTATTTAATAGTTTTTATATACAAAATATTCAAATTTTATTACTATCACCTCATTTTTTAAGAAAAAAACTTTGCTTTCTACATATCCTTTTTAAGATCAATAAAAAAAATTTAAAAACCCTTTCAAGCCCAATGTACACTATTCATCATCCAATCACTGAACTCAGACCATTGCTCAAATTACCTGCTACCTCATTATCTGTATTCCTTAAGCCCTAGGCCCATCATCAATAACACAGCCACATTTCCAGCCCCAGCCCCATGATCTCTTTTTGCTCTTTGTCAGGCTTTTCTGTCGGATCCACAGTGCAGGCTCACACCCAAGGAATCTGGATGTGGTGTGTGCCTCACCCCAGCAAGCTGGACCACACTCTGGTTCTTCTGGACACTGAAGGACTGGGAGATACGCAGAAGGTGACAAAAGCGGATTCTATTTTAATTCACTTTCTCATCTCTGAACATTGTTTATTTAGGGAATGTTTTACTTTGTTTCCTTGTTTGGTTTTGTCTAAACTTGCTTTTTCCCTTGATCATACCTTCCTTGGAAGGTATGATCATGCTTCCTTGGAAGCATGAAGTTGGAAAACTTATTTGTAAGACAGAATCAGTATTAGCAACACCATAGCAATGGCAAGCTTAGGAGTTTCTGGGTACACAAAGATGATACAAGCCTGGTCCTGTAGAGAGTGTAGTTTAATAGTGGTCTCTGATTCAGATAAATTTCTGTTCAAATCAAGGTTCTAGCACTTGGAGTTCTCTGATTTTAGTAAGGATAGTAAGGTCCCCAAGCCTTTAGATTACTCTTCGGTATTACTCAACCCACTATTTGGATAGTAATCACATGGGCTTTTCCTCATGGCATGTTATACATTTAACAACTAGCTTATTAGGAAAATTGCCTTGATTCATAACCTAAAGTGAAGTCAGTAAGAAGAGACTTAGGAAAAGATTTGTGCAGTTGACTTTTAGGAGTTTGGATGACATGATTCTGTTTCCTTCTCTTACATTTTATTATAGGCACAATAGATATGTGCATCTGACCATATAAAATAATTATCGAAATGAACTCTAGGAAGTGGAAAAGAGAGTTTTTTTTCTTTGTTGCTTTTTTTTGTTCTCCTTTCCTTTTGTCCACTTGTTCATTTATCGGTCTTTGGGAAAGTTGGGGGAACACAGAAATGGTGCGACAAAGGGTGAACAGATACAGCAGTGATACTCACTAGGCCCCATGACCCTTGTGGGTGGAAATGAGAGAGAAAAACTGGGAGAGGGGAAAAGAAGGGGTGACATTGTTCAAAAAGAAATGTACTCTTTATCTGACTTAAGTTAACTATAACCCCTCTTTACATCACCTTTATAATAATAATATAAAAAATTTCTTTTGTTGGACTTGAAATCTGGGCCTGGGTGCTGTTCCTAAGCTCTTCAGCTCAAGATGAGCACTCTATCACTTGAGCCACAATGCCACTTCCAGTTTTCTGGTGGTTAATTAGAGAGTTTCACAGATTTTCCTACCCGGGCTGGCTTTGAACTGTGATCCTCAGATCTCAGCCTCCTGAGTAGTTTAGGATTACAGGCATGAACCACTGGTACCCAGCAATAAATATTTTTTTAAAAGGATTTAAAGATGGTGAGCCATAATGTGTGAGTTCTGGTTTCTTCACAATATTACAATATTAAACACATCTCACTGTATTATTTATGTAATTAAATGAGATTATTAATGTAACTACCTTGTGGGTCATAATTAATGAATAAAATAATCATGTATATTGTGTATTTGGGTCAGTATTGCTTCAGACTCTAGAAGACTTTGAATTTGAATATTCTGGTTTCTCCATTATCTTTGACCACTCATTTTAAAAGTATTTTAAAAAGGAAATGGCAAGTTAATAATAGGTGAATCACTATGAAATTACCAATAAGAAAAGTATATAAAGCTCGAGACTAACAACCATTTTTGTCATTTGATATTTATAGATAAAGATATTGTCTTCAATGCTTGCTCATCTAGGAAAACCATGGGACATGATTTTATACTTTTTCTGATTTTAGGTTGATAACAAGAATGATGAGCAGATCTTTGCACTGGCAATCCTTTTGAGCAGCACCCTTGTTTACAATACCATGAGCAACATCGACCAAGGGGCTATTGACCTACTTCAGTATCCTTTTGAGTTAAAGCATGAAAACCAAGATAGAGAGAACTCACCAGCTGTGTCTGTGAGGACTTGAGAGAATTAAAAATGAAAATATGATAGAGAGTGAAGTATAAGGACAAAAGGCTGCATAGATTCAGTGAGGGAATGCTGACTTGACTAAGGACAACATGGTGTATGGACATAGGGGCTATAGTCTGGGTATTCAGTAATAGAATACTGACTTGATTAAGTGTCAGAGGGAAAGGAAGTTAGAAAGAGGTCAGCACTAAGATACAGTCTTACATTTCCAAGTTTTCCTCAACCTCATCTCAGCAATGTTACAGAAATAACAGATCTGCTCAGAGCAAGAACCTCCTCTCATCTTGATGGGGTTGAAGATGCTGCTGACATTGTGACATTCTTTCCTGACTTAGTGTGGACTCTGAGGGACTTCTACCTTGACCTGGAAACTGATGGACAACTCATCACAGCAGATACGTACCTGGAGAACTCACTGAGGCCAAAGGAAGGTAAGAGACCTACTGGTTGGGGAAAAAAGAAAAAGTAGCTCCAGAAATGATATCATTTGTATCAGCAGCCAAATGTACTGTTTTCTATATTTACCTACCAGGCTATCTTATAAAATAAATGATTAGTCATTTTAGAAGCAAGAGATAGGTGCAATATTAAATTTCATTGCTCCCCTCATCTTATGAGAAATTTGATTCCTTATATTCTTTTCATGATTATTTTCTTTTAATATTTTTGAGTAGGCTTAGTAGAGACATTAACCTTAGTAACCTGATGAGAAATAAAATGTGTTTAAGAGAAATACATTGTCATGAATTTTAATTCTATACTAAATACATACTACTTTTCCTTCTCAAGGTAGTGATCAGAGGAGTCAGAATTATAATTTACCCCGTCTATGTATACAGAAGTTCTTCCCAACAAGGAAATGCTTTATCTTTGACACACCTATTCATGGGAAGAAACTTGGCCAGCTTGAAACATTGTGTGATGATGAGCTGGATCACGAGTTTGTGCAACAAGTGGCAGAATTCTGCTCCTACATCTTCAGCCATTCTAAGATCAAAACTCTTCCGGGAGACATCAAGGTCAATGGACCTCGTAAGTCTCTTTTTTAAAATACTTTTTAGCTCAACATGAAGAAAAGAGACCCATAATAGCCTCCTCATAATGCCAATGTTGACAAATGTATAAGGAATAATCACCGTGGAAATCATAACACCATGTTTATAAAAGTTCTAGCACTTGCAGCTCTCTGATTTTGGTAAGGATAGTAAGGGTCCCCAAGCCTTTTAGTCCTCAAACCTTTTATTTATTCTTTGATATTACTCAACCCACTATTTGGATAGTAATCACATGGGCCTTTCCTCATGGCATGTTATGCATTTATCAACCAGCTTATTAGGAAAATCAGAATATCAGATCGATTTCTAGTGGGTTTCTTTTATTAATGTTTTCAAGGTTACATAAGTTAGGAGAATAATAAAAGTCAGATTCACTTCAGTAAGTTTTATCCATTGGAGACCCACTGTTGAATTGGACACACTGCATGGGCTGACAACATTTGTCCATCAAATATATGGAATTCATATTATGCTATACAAGCTTGACAAATCTAAGACAGGCAAGACATACATGTTCCCTGCAGAAATAGAACTAGTTGGCACAGATATTAAACATGGGCACAAATTGTCTCGAATCTTGAAAGATATTTAATCAGATTTCATAAAGAACACAGTATTTCAGAACTCTGTAAATAGCTGATGTGTATTATATAGGGCAATTGCACTCCCTGTGTGGAAAGACTGACATAGGAGTAAAACAGAGAATTACAACATATCAGGAAACCCTGCTCTGAATTTTTCAGTTAGCCATTTTACAGTGGAGAGTATTTTTTATAACATCTTAATTAGAAGATAGTAAAAAACAAATTGAAAATTCTGAGGACAATGAAAAACTGTGAAAGAATAAAAGAAAGGGACATATAAAGAGGCAAAGTTTAGCATTCTGATCAAATAAACATTTATTAATTTTATGTAGTCATCTTCTTAGTTCTATGTGAATAAGGATGAAATTTAGATGTCACAAAACCTTTTGAGATTTTCTCTATTTCTTCTTTGAATGCCATTCTATTTCTCTTCTCTTTTTTATTTCCCAACAAAAGAGAAATTTAACTTCTTACACAATTTCCCAGTGGAACTTATCTGGGCCATTTGAGTTCTGTCTACTATGCTGAAACATGATGTACTGTGACATTCATGTTATTGACATAACATACATGTTTACCCATTAAGAATCATTCTGTGTAGAGCATAGACTCTACACAGAATGTGTAGAGTGCCAATATCTCTTCTGTCTATGTAGGTCTAGAGAACCTGGTGCTGACCTATGTTAATGCCATCCACAATGGAGAACTGCCCTGCCTGGGGAACACAGTGCTGGCCTTGAGTCAGATAGAGAATGCAGCTGCAGTACAGAAAGCAATGAGTCACTATGACCAGGAGATGACCCAGAAGGTGCAGCTCCCTACAAACACACTCCAGGAGCTGTTGGACCTGCACAGGGCCTGTGAGAGAGAAGCTATAGAAGTTTTCAAGAAGAATTCTTTCAAGGATGAGGATCAAGGTTTCCAGAAAGAATTAGAGGTAATTTTTTTTGTCTAGCTTATTGACTATAGAATTAGACAACATAGCCTGGCGCTGGTGGCTCACGCCTATAATCCTAGCTACTCAGGAGGCTGAGATCTGAGGATCGCGGTTCAAAGCCAGCCCAGGCAGGAGAGGCCGTGAGACTCCTGTCTCCAATAAACCACCAGAAAACCGGAAGTGGGGCTGTGGCTCAAGTGGTAGAGCGCTAGCCTTGAGCTGAAGAGCTGAGGGACAGCCCCCAGGCCCAGAGTTTAAGCCCCACAACCGACAAAAAAAAAAAAGAATTAGACAACATATAGCTATGATAGGCAAAATAGTACTATCTGAGAAAAGAAATTCTCACTAGAATGGGAAACGACAGTACTCACTAAGAAGGCCTTGAAAACTCATGTGTAACCTTTCTCATCTTTGCAAACCTTGAACTTTTCCACATGAACACAACTCACTTTTACCATAATATGTGCATGGCTAAAACTCAAATTGGTTATACTTCTCTAAAAAATGTATATAAAGCTTGGCTCTAGTGTCTCATGCCTGTACTCTTGGGGAATTTGTGCTATGAGTTCAAAGCACAAATAAATGTCTACTTTTTTTATATAATCAAGCATATAGACTTGCCATTTCAATTCTAACATACATAAGTTTATTAGTAGTAGAATAAGCAAGTATTGTTCCAGATAATTGTTTTATTCCATGTTCACATCAAAAGTGGAGAATAAGTGAAACCACAAACATTGTAAAGTAAGTTTCATTTTACACAAGGACACTAAGCTACAGCCTATGTCTGAATCTGAAAAAGGCAAAATTCAGGAAATTCCTAAAGAAGGTAAATGTCATTTTTCAGAATGTCATCACTTTATAACTCCTTTAAGTTTGAAGAAAAGAATACAATTTTACATATATTTCTCTAATTCATTAAAAAAAATATTGTGAATTCTTTTTGCAAATGATTTCCAGAAATGCTAAACTGTTGCTAACATCTAAATGGATTTTATCCCATGAAGGCCCTACTACATACAAAGCAAGAAGCTATTTGTCAGAAGAACTTGGAAGCCTCTTCTGAACGCTGCTCAGCCTTACTTCAGGATATCTTTACTCCGCTGGAAGCAAACGTGCAGCTGGGGATTTATTCTAGACCAGGAGGCCATAATCTCTACATTCAGAAGATAGAAGAGCTGAAGGCACTATACTACCAGAAGCCTGGGAAAGGAATCCAGGTATCACTGGATTTTTTGAAATCTATTAGTTTTTATCTATTTTATCTATTTTGTCTATTATATCTACTATATAGATACTATTTATAGTATTTTACCTAGTAGTTTAATCTATTCGTTATTGGAGACTGCTGGAGTTGCAATACAAAGCTATTAATAAGAAAAGGAAAGACAAGAATACAGGAACAGAGATGAGATTTACAGAGTGAGTTATGCTTTTGTGGAGTGAGCATGCATGGAAAATTATGTGGCTGTACTGAGGTAGGTCCTGGCACATAACTGACAAATAACAACACTTGTAGGATTAACCTGAACTATTCAATGAGCACCAGATTATAGTGCAGCTATCTATGTTCAGGAGCAACAAAGGGACCTTTTCTATCTATACAGGATAGAATCCCAACAACTGACTTTAAGAACAATGAATAATTGATTGGATTATATAAACTAAGATCTAATGATTTTAATATAGTTTCAACAGCTCAGTGTCATCAATTTCCCTTCTTTTTTCCTTCACACTCCAGATTCCATTTTTCTCTTTTGTTTTCTTATCTTACAGTGTCACCCTTCATGGTAAGAGAGATGAAAATAGGTACAAGTTTAGGTAAATTTAGTGCTTAGATCTTAGAGAAGAAAGAGTATTTTTTATGTTAATCTTTTAAAAGCTCAAGTTCCAGTGCTGTTGCTTTAAAAAAAAAAACCTTTCAGTATATCCATTACATCTAATTGTGCTTTGTATGACCCCAAGCGAATCACAACCACTCCTGCAGCAGGAAAGTCTTGAGGCAATTCTACAGCTCAGATACAGGAAAGCACCTGCTACAATGAAAAAAGAAATGCAGACATTACAGTATTTCTACCACACTTCTAATTACTTTGCATGTTTCTGGGCTTCATAGGCTGAGGAAGCTCTACAGAATTATTTACATTCCAAGAAGCCTGTGAGTGATGCAATTCTACAGACAGACCAGGCGCTCACTGCCAAGGAAAATGAGATGAAAGGTGAGAAAAAAATAGAAGAAAAGAATAGACATTATGCAAGATGAACAAAAATGTTCTACTTCAAATTCTTGCAATCTGGCCAGCCAGATGACTCATCTAGAGCAAGAATGACCATGTTGCTTCTTTGCTCCACAGGCTGAGCTGATTAGAGGCAGATACCCTCAATATGATCTTCTGAAAGAAAACAAATTACCCAAAGATTTTATCTGCGGAATTAAAACAAATAAACAACAACAACAAAAAGAGTGGTAGGCAGAAGGATGAGATTTAGGAATCTAAAAGATACTTGTCTTCTTTTTTCTGTAGTGCAACGTGCAAAAGCAGAGACTGCCAGGGCTGATGCACAAAGATTGGAGGAGCTTCACAGGATGCAACAAAAGTTGATGGAGGAGAAGGAGAGGGTCCGTCAGCAGCAACTGAGGCAAATGGAGATCAACAGAGCAAACTTTCTGGCAGAGCTGAAGAGGGCTGAAGAACAGCAGCTCCAGGTATTCATCCAGGTATTATTTGTTGTCTTACTTAGTCCCCCTGTCTGTAAGGAACAGAGCTTGATCAAATGACAAAGGGGCAAAGATATCCTACCATGGAGGCTCGGGTCTAGGACTTGAGCCAGACTGCTAGGTTTGAATCCAAGTACTACTTCTGAACATACATACAGATTAGGCAAGTTTTCTGAGACCATATTTGTTGCCTTACTTTCTGAGTGCATCATATTTTCCCCTTCTGTAGAATGGAGACATCAATGTATGTATTTTATATGGTTGTTCTTAGAACTAAATACACTAAGGTTCATGTTTAGAATCACATTTGGCCCAGAGTAAGCAAAATGAATTTTTAAGTAAAATGAATACATTTCTGACCCACATGAGCAGGCTTTTTATTTGGACAAACTTATGCTTTAAGCAAAGATACAATGACACATGAATTTCATGCTACTGTGTCTTTGTTCTTGTCTTTCCTCTATTATCTCTGGACTAGTGGCCTTGAGCTTGTAGAATTGTTTGTGGTTTTTTTTTTCATCCATTCCTTTACTGTGCCAGCATTCAGTAGTAGTTTGTATTTACCTAGCCTTCTATAAAATCCTTTACATGCATTCTCTTATCTTACCACTGTGAGATTGAAATATTGTGCCCCCAGTTTTCAGATGAGATTCCTAAGAGATAACTAAATACTAGTATCACTAGCCTTCTAAGTTGTCAAAACTACCTTCCCATAGAGTGGGATCTGCAGGGCTGCCTCTCCTGCAAACCTGGTGTGAAATTCCCATGAACGTGTCCTCAGTAGACAGATAGTCCTACTCCCACAACCCTCCACCTTGCCAATCCATCTGCACACAAAGATAGTCAATCTATATTTTTTGTGATTTTAGTTCTTTCTTGAAGAACAGTGTGCACCGTGTACACAATGTGGATTTTTATTTCCTGAATTTTTTTCTACTCTCTACCTAAGAATGAGATGACCTAGATCATATCCCTCACCTAATGCACAAACAAAACACCTAATTTTATCATTTTGATGTCCTATAATATATCAGCTTCTTCTCTTAAAATTGTCCCTAATATCTTATGTGTGACTAAGAACTGAAGTCAATATCTGACTAAGGTTTCCCTAGGAAATTATGTAGAATAGGGATATGAAGACTTGAGATAGAATTCTAGAGACACAACATTTCAGAGATTGAGATATAATAAACCTAGATCTAGAGAAAGAGGAGAGTTAAAATCTACATGAGTACACTAGATGTACATGAACAGAAGAGAGATATTCAAGTGCTATCTTGCTGCTCTTGACTATTCAGTGATGTAGGCAAATAGAAATAAACTTGATCTTAATTTTGCTAAGATTTATAACTTTTACTCATCGCTCCTTAGGAAGAGGCTGAAAGACTCAGAGCAGCCCAAGAAGCTGAAAGAAGAAGACTCCAGGAAATGCTCTGGCATTTAGAGAACAGGAGGCACTCACGTGATCACTGTATCTTATGCTAATGTGCTAAATATCGGGGTTTTCTTTTCTTCCTCCTTCACTGAAGAAACAAAGAGATGAAAAACTAAACAACTAGGAACCAATAACAAATAATCCCAGTGACTCCTGTCCAATTGTTTGGTTTTGCTTTTTTGTCTCAAAGTATTGTAAAGTTGCATGGGGGGGAGGGAGTGTTCATCACATGGGTTCAGCTAGATGGACTGGATGATGATCTGCGCTCAGGGGCATTGCCCCTGCTGGCTGGCTTATGCTGGAAGCCACTAGGTGCCAAAGGTATCATAAAGTATGGGTGGTTTTTTTCTTTACCATTCTGGCCTCACATTTGCTAGGCTATTGCTGTCCCATTCTCAGCCCTTTGTTCCTGATTTTTCAAAATAAAGTCTTTCCACTTCTGTCAGAAGTTTACTAGGACCACTACCCTCTTTTTTAGGCTTCTCAAGCAGCAAGGACTAAATGGGGGAGGTTTTACTTATTCAGTCTCAAATCATGATCCCCCAAACCATGCCTACTGAGCAACTGTAATTATAGGCATAAGCCACAACACTCAGCCTTGTTTAATTTCATTCTTGCTACATTGAAAATTTTTTGTTGGTCATGGGCTTGAACTCTGGGCTTGGGCGCTGTCCCTCAGTTCTTGAGCTCAAGGCTAGTGCCCGACCACTTGAGCTACAGCGCCACTTCCGGTTTTCTGGTGGTTTATTGGAGATAAGAGTCTCACGTCTAGACTTTCCTGTCCAGGCTGGCTTTGAACCATGATCTTCAGATCTCAGCCTCCTGAGTAGCTAGGATTACAGGAGTGGGCCACCAACTATCAGCTTACAGTAAAAATTTTAAATCTATATTTTGGGCAATCAAATATGAAAGTCCACTGATTTTTTTTAAATTATAGACTATCTAGATTAGTGCACTTTTTAGCGACGAAGATCTCTTTGACACTGTAACTCTATCTCTTTGTTTTTATTTTCTTCAGGACTTAAAATTCTATAGGGAAGCCTTCTGAATTTCCTGCAGGAAATTAACAATTGCTTTAAGATTACAATTGAAATGGGCTTTATTGCATCATTTTATTTGTGTTCTGCTTATTTTACTTAATTCCAGTAAAAACATGTTTATTTGTGCTCTGCTTATTTTACTTAACATCAGCAAAGTCGATTTTGTACAATTAATTGTAGGAGCATTACAAAGGTCTCTTATTGTTGCTGTCATTAACTGCTTACTTGTATAAGAACCTGTCAACTTAGTTATAAGAGCATGAATATTTTTTGTTTTTCAAAATATGATTTACTTATTTTCAGAACAAAATAAAATCCATTTTGTCTGTACTTTCCCATCCTCTTCTCCGAAGAATTTTGTTTCTCTAAACATCTCATATCACATAAGGACATACATTGCAAATTATGTTCAGCTGAACCTGAAGTTCAGAAGGAAGTAGTACATGGGCTGAGTATGTGTTCAACAATACACTAGAATTACCTTTGCAAACTGTAGAAGCTCATACAAGAAACAATAAAGTACATTTTTTTTCTTTTTTCTTTTTATTTATTTATTTTTTATTTGTGAACATACTGTACAGAGGGGTTACAATTACATGGGCAGGATAATGTGTACATTTATTACCAAGCATTGCAGCCTCCTCCTTTGG